TATAACTTTACGATACACTTAATTTCAGTATTCGCGCTAAAACAAACACTATAACGAACAAACGTTAACTTCAACAATACCCTGTGACTGCAGTTCAATTACTCACTATCTACACATACATTCCCGTCACGTTGTCACCCTCTTTTATATACCAGGCTACCCTATATCTAGTAAATACTAGAGCATTCGCCAAGGTACAGGATAGTTCTAGAAAAAAGGTGGCGCCACACCAGTCACGTGACCTCGATGACGCAACAATACAATAAATTCGATACTAATTAACTAAAACTACCGTACTAAGGATAACAATCACAGAAGTTGTGAACATATAGGCTAGCAATTAAAAAAAGAGACTGTGATTCAATGTATTAACCCTGTAATTGGTGTAGACAAATCAGAAAGTTTCTTGTTCTTGTGACTCAAATCTTTGCCGCCAGGATAGACATTACATAAATCTTTTGACATGCGCTTTCTTCTGTATCTTTGTGCACGTGCGTGAAACGTGAAAACAAACAAACTTGTGACAGAGAAATTGAAGGTGACTGTTTGAAATTATCGTTGCTTAACACTTGCCTATATACGGGTTATACATTCTGCCAACATTTAAGTGCAATAAAACATTTTTTTTTTGCATTTTTCTTTAGCATAAAATTATATGCGGGTTTATCAGGCATAACGGTTAAAAAAAATTAATGTCTGCAAAGAAGGATGACATAGCGATATTATACGTGTGGTATGGAAGTTTTTAATCTTGAAGAACCCTAACTGGTTACAAATTCTTCTAGAACTATATTTAGATTGAAGATAAACTACTCCAGTTGCTGGCAAATCCCTACCACCCAATGACTTTTTATCACAGCATTACGATAGTAATAAAACTTAAAAATCCACATTTTTCTCCTGCCACGTCACTTTAAACCAAATATTACGTCACCTTGCAAATCAACCAATCACACGACTGCTGTCACCTGTAGCGAAAAAAGAACAATGAAAAACAATAATATTAATAACAACTCATTTCAAGACGTCAGGAGTTCTTGTTTGTTTCGGGTTTGTCCGTTTTCGTCTTGACGATTTAGAATTTTAACAAAAATCTTGCCATGTTAACGGATTTGAGCAGCACGTGTCACAGGCGGAAATATTTCAGGGTGTGCTATAAGATTTTAACTCTATAGACGTCAACTTATTCAAGCAATAAATTTTCTTTGATTTATTTTAATGATTAAGGTTAAAAAAATAAATAAATCGACATGAATCGAGTGACAAACATTTCACTAACCCTTGGTCAATTTAACGTGCGATTGTCTTCTTTAACAAGATATGCTATTACTTTATTCTTTAACCGTACTGAAGTCAGCAAAAAAACACGGATATCTTAACTTGTATAAGTATATAGGATTTAATGATATTTAACCAAGTTGCTTACACCCACAAAGAAATTCCAATAACTGAACTTTTTCACAGCTGTATCTGTAGCGTAAAGTGCGGGCCTTGTTAATCTTCCCCCCCTCGTCCTTTTACGTTATTTAATTATATAACGGTATCGCAATACAGTGGGTTTTAGTTTCGTATTATTATTATCATTTACTGGGTATTTGAAGGGCAACACGTGGCAAGATTGTTGACCTTTTTGTTTTTTTACAGTTCTTGGAGTCGTCCTATCGTGCAGTATAACAAATAGGCAAATATTACTGAACGTCTTACGTCAAAAACGGTCACGTGCTTAAGAGTCTTAGACGCTGATTCATCTCGTAGCCTAACTTGTGAAAGAAATGCTCAGTTTAAATGGTAAAAAAAAACTGAATTAAAGAATAATTATTCAGAATGAAAACCAGAACTTCACTATTGGAGTTTGACAATTACGACTTTTGTTTCAAATGTTATGTATAGTGTTTAAGTTTTGATAGTCGATGGAAGACAAACGACTATGTATTCGTTATATTCCAATAAAAAGAAAGCTAAAGAGAACTTTCTTGGAAGAGTCCTCAAAATGGCTTTATAAAGTTTGAGTTACCAGTTTTATCGGTGTTTATGGTTACAGTTTTATCTCAATAACATTTATTTTCGTGTTATAAACACAAAACTGTTGTTTTTCAATATTTTGTTGTGCCTACTCTGAACTGGCTGAAAGTTCTAAAAGTATGTTCTTAATTATGTAAAATCTGCAGTGAACATGATTTGAAAGAAAACATTTTAAGAAACTAATGATGTTGAAAAAGGAAAGAAACTCGGGAGAAAACACGTACAAATTAATGTATATGTATATATGACATTATTCAGCCCTTGTTTCATAGATAGAGCTGTCAAAGATGATTCTAACTTTCGTATAGTTTGCTTATAAACCTCAGCTTGTTGATCTAAGCCTAATAACTTATATTAAAGGAAATGAAGCATGATAAACCTGAAATTAATTGAAGTAACATCAGTTAGTTAGCTACCGTATTTTTCGGTGTATAAGACGCACTTTTTTACCCCAAAATTTGATGTCAAAATCTGATTGCGTCCTATATATATATATATATATATATATGTATATATACGATATACACAA